TTTCAACAATTTGATTCTTTTACATTTTACACAATAAAAATTTTTATTTATTGACATTTTTGTTTAAAAATTTTTGAAATTTTCGTTGAAAAAAATTTTCATTTGGCAAAATTAAGTGTCTCAGCGTTTATCTTTTTAAATGTTTTTATTCTTTTCTAGACTTGAGTAAAAGACGTTAAAAAGATATAGTATGTAAGAAGTACTTTTAAAGTAAAAAAACCTTTTAAATTTGTATTTCCCCAAGCATCATCGCTTTTTTAAAGTTAAAATGGCGGCATAAAATTCTCTTCTTTTTTTTCTTTCGAGTTCTTCCTTTTTTTGGTTGATTAAAAACATTTTAGAAATTAATAATTTAAAAATTTTTATTTTAATTGAACTCACGTAAAGTTTAATAAAAATAGAATTATTGAACCTATTTTAGCCTCTTTTCGGACCTATTTAGGTGCCTATTATCGGTTTTTTGGACCTAGAAAAGTCGCTCCAGTAATAAATCAGCACTGATTTTTATTTGAACAATAATTGAAATTTTTTGGAATTATGAGGATTTGGGGCTTTTTAAAATAATTTAAATTAGTTTTCATTAAGGAGTTTTCATTCCTCTTTTTAAAATATTTTTTTAACAAATTTTGTCCTCTTAAAAATCTAAAAAAAATTATTTTTGTTGCTCCTTTTTCTTGTTTGCGTGTTTAATAAATGAAAATAATAGTCAAAATTGGCTTTTAAAAATATTCCCTTTATATTGTTCAAAAACATTTAATACTTTTGGCTCTTTTAGTTTTTATGTCTTGTTAGTATTTTTATTTTTAAATTTAAGCCTTTTTATTTTTCGAAATGCTACGGTATTCTAATAATAGTACTACTTTATTGTTAGAGATTGTGTGAAGTGAAGAGAGTAAAGAAAGAGTGTGTATAATAGAGAGAGATATTTAAAGAGAGGAAAAACTTTGTTAAAAACATCAAACAATAAATTAAAAATTAAAACAACAAGGAAATTAAACAGCTCAAACAACAAAACAATAAATTAAAACATCAACAAAACATCGTCAAAACATCGTCAAAACATTATTAAAATAATTAATAATAAATAAACTTGTTTGAAAACTTGAGAAAAACAAACTTGTTTTACTTAAAAATATTAAAACAAAACCAGAATAATAAAACACAAAAACATCAGAAAAACATTCTTATAAATAATCATTCTAACCAACATAACACCAAAACTCAAACATCTAAAAACACAAAACATCAAAACTTAAAAAACAATATTAAAAACATCAACAAAAACATTAAAAATTAAATGAAAACTTGTGTTTTTGGTGGGACAAATGATGATTCTAACGAAGACAGTATTTCAACAATAACAACCGGTGGAGGCGGTCTTGTTGCTCGTTCTTCATCTAGAACGGGCGGGGCCTTATGTGGTCGTTCTTCTATTTCTGCTACAGCTGCTGCTTCTTCACGTTTTTCTACTACTCCAACAAAAAAATTATCAGCTGGGGTTTTGATAGAAAAGCAAAAAAGAAGTGGAGGAGAACATCAATTCCCCCATTATTATAAACGTAATCAAAGGTCTACCCCAACTTTTAAACAATATTTAAATGGGGGAGATGAATCAAAAAATAATAGCAGCAATAATAATATAATGGTTAGAATCTTGAAAAATTATTAAAAATTTGAGAAATATTGAAAGATAACAAAAATTGAAAATTAGGCGAATGGAGAATTTGGGAGAATGAAATTTGGTCGAATATAGATTTGATCAACATTAACTTTATGAAAATGTCGAATTGTAATCGGGATCCCATAGCTAATTTTAAATAAATAAATTTTGGCCGTATATGAAATGAATGCGGCAATCAAATTTTTTCCTTATTCTTAAAAATGGTTAATTTTCTTATATTTTTCTCTCTATTTCTGATACGTGCCTTAAGACAATAACCGCAAAAGGATTATTTTTCTTTAACTTTGTGAGCATTTACTCCGATGTGTGTGCGTGTTTTGTCTGTCCGAGTTCGTCCGTGTTTTGTCTGTCTGTGTCTGTCTGTCCGAGTTCGTCCGTATTTTGTCTGTCTGTCCGAGTTCGTCCGTATTTTGTCTGTCTGTCCGAGTTCGTCCGTATTTTGTCTGTCTGTGTCTGTCTGTCCGAGTTCGTCCGTATTTTGTCTGTCTGTCCGAGTTCGTCCGTGTTTTGTCTGTCTGTGTCTGTCTGTCCGAGTTCGTCCGTATTTTGTCTGTCTGTCCGAGTTCGTCCGTGTTTTGTCTGTCTGTGTCTGTCTGTCCGAGTTCGTCCGTATTTTGTCTGTCTGTCCGAGTTCGTCCGTATTTTGTCTGTCTGTCCGAGTTCGTCCGTATTTTGTCTGTCTGTGTCTGTCTGTCCGAGTTCGTCCGTATTTTGTCTGTCTGTCCGAGTTCGTCCGTATTTTGTCTGTCTGTCCGAGTTCGTCCGTATTTTGTCTGTCTGTCCGAGTTCGTCCGTATTTTGTCTGACGAACCGGACAGACAAAACACGCAAACACATCGGACAGAAAAAAAGTAAATGCTCACAAGGTTAAAGAAAAATAATCCTTTTGCGGTTTTGCGTGTATATTCCCTACGGCATAAATCAAATATAGAGAGAATTATATTGAAAAATTGACCATTATGGGGAGTGGGAAAAAATTTGATTGCCGCATTCATTTCATATACGGCCTAAATTTTTATCTGCTTAAAAATCTTAGCAGAAAAAGTCAACTACACACTCTTTGGACAGGCTTTCCCCTCCTCCTAAAAGTCCACCACCTCCCTCTCAACCAACTTGTAGATATCAAAGAACAGCAGCAGCTAAATGTAATACAGCAATAAATGCTTCATCTTTAGCGGCAGAAACATTAAGTGCTAATAGTTTATTATTGCCTGGTCATACTAAACATGTTAGAAGAACATCGAGAGTAATAAATAATGTAAGTTTTAAAAAATGTTTTTAATAAAATGTTTTTATAAGATGTTTTTAAAAACATTTACAATTTCAAGTTTATTTTTACCAAAACATCCAAGTTTATTTTACTCAAGTTTATTTAAAGTTTGTTTTCTAAGTTTGTTGAGAAGGCTTATTATTTTAAGTTTATTTATTTTAGGTTTATTTAAGGTTTATTTACACAGGTTTATTTTTTCTACAACCTTTTTACAACCTTTATTAAAAACAAGTTTTTAAGTTTATTTTTATTTTTGTATTTTTTGACATCATTAAGTGACATCAAATTATAGTCTAAACAAACTTTAGAGACCTGTCTCGACTAATTAACATATAAAATAAATAGAATGGCATAAAAACAATTTTTTGTTTAAAAAATGGTTGAATATTTATATTTTACTATTATTTTTTCATTTCTAAAAAATTCAGAAAATTTTTAAAAAATTTTTAAAGAAAAATTTCTCAATTAAAAAAATCTAAAAAATTTCTCAATATTTTCTCAAAAAATACGAATTTGTTTAAAAATAAATTCTTTAAAAATTTCAGAATTTTATAAAAAAAATTTATTTATTTATTTTATGGAATTTTTATGAATTTTTTTGACTTTTTTTTAATTTTGGATTTTTTTAGAATTCCCCAGTGTTCTTAAATAAATATAAAATTTCATAATTTAATTAAAAAAATTTTTTTGAATAAATTTTAAAATTCCAAAAAATGTTAACCCAATCAATCCAAACATTTCAACAACAAAATTCATTTTTCGAAGAATCCAATACCTCAATAAATTCATTAATTCCTTCCTCTTCTTCTCCACTTCCTTTTCACAATGAAAATATCAGAATTCCAACACCTTTAGTTGTTTTACCCTTTCCTCCTTTCAGACCCGCTTTAGGGGCTTTCTTTGCTAATGTTAGGTTTTTAAAGGTTTGGAAAAAATATAATTTATTTGAATTTATTTTTAAAAATAATTTTAAGTATTTTTTAAAATTAAATTTATTTTAATTTTAAGAATTTTTATTTAATTTTACAAAAACTTTTTTTATTTTTCAAAATTTTTCTTAATTTTTTTTTCATATTTTCAACTTTAAATTTAATTTTTGTATAAAAAATTTTTTCAATATATTAATTGAAATATATTTTTAAATATTAATTTTCAATGCTAAAAATTTTTTCTTTACATTAAATCAGAAAATAAAATTAATTTAATTATTGGGAGTTAACTTTTTTAAAAATTAAATAATAATTTCAAAAAAAATTATTTTTTTTTCAAAATTAGGTACTCAGTCTAGGTGCAGATGTCATTCCAGAAGTATTTATTTAAATTAATTTTAATAAATAAATTTTTCTTTAAAGTACAAATTACAACCAAACAGACTTCATCATTGCACAATTATTCATTATTCTCCTTTTAAGGCTGTTTGGGATTGGATGTATATTTTATAGTTTTAAAATAAAAATCTCTCAAAAATTTATTTCACTATAAAGTAGAGGCCCGGATAAGGACTGATCGAAAAAATCATTTTTCCCATTTCGTTACGTTTCCATTCGAAATAAAACAATTTTTATTTCGATTAACCCTGGGTAGGATTGGAGATTCAAGAAAAATGTGAGATCGATATCTAGAAAATTATCAATCTTGTTAAACGAAATTATTGGAGATCTCGTCTTTGTCCGATCTCCACTTTGAATTTGTTGAAAAATAGAGGGTTTAGACATTTATTTTCTCATATATAATTTATCTTCGAAGATTTTCGAAAATATTTTTTTTGAAATTTATTTTTTATATGGATTGGCCGTTCCTTTAAGGGAATTATATCAGAGTAGTTGAAATAATTTTGGGTATTATTCTATCAATATTTTCGGTGAAATTTCCTTAATTTGACTAAATAAGTTTTAATTGGCTATATTTAAATATTCAAACAATATTTTTACTCAAAATTAGATTAATTTAAAAAATTAATCTTTAGAATTCTTCTCCTTGTTATTTACACAGCCATATTTACGGTAAATTTTAATTTTTAAATTAAAAATTTTTTTTTAATTTTTATAGCCTTATGTAGCAGCATTCCTGTTGAGAGAGGTAATTTTTTAAATAAATGTTCCCAATAAAAAATAATTTTTAGGGTCAAAATACCCAACAAAGGAGGGCGAAGTTTGGAGAACCTATGGAAATTATTGTAAAAATATTTTTAATTAAAGAAAAAATTTTTTTTAATTTTGAGGATCTCATTGTTGACATTTTCTTTATTATTGATATCAGTAAGGAAAATAAATAGTTTATTAAAACTTTAATTTATTTTATTAAAGTAATCAACTTTAGAACTACTTATGTTGTAAGTTTTAATAATTCAAGTTTATTTTAAAGTTTGTTTTATTTAAACTTTAATTTCAAGTTTTATTCGAACCTTAAATAAAACTTGAATTAAAATTGAACTTAAAAATAATTTTAAGATTAAACTTAAATTCAAGTTTATTTTATTTTTTTAAGTTCAAGCTTAAAGGTTTATTTTTGTACACTTCAAACTTTATTTATTCTGATTTCTATTAAGTTCAAAACTTTAAAGATTAAGCTTGAAATTTATTTTGTTTGTTTTATTTAATTCAAGTTTAATTAATATAGAACGACAACGATGAAGTTGTCAGTGATCCAGGGAAAATTGCACTACACTATTTTAAAGTAAAAAAAATTTAATTAATTTTTAATTTAAAAATAATTTTATTTTTAAGGGATGGTTTTTTATTGACGCGTGAGTATTTTCTGATTTTTTAAAATAATCTTAAAATTATTTTTAATAGGGTAGCAGCTGTCCCTTTTGATTTGTTATTGGTCGAGACGGATAGTGATGAGGTAATTAAAATTTAATTTAAAAAATTAAATTTTTCTCACAATTTTTATAGACCACAACATTAATTGGACTTTTAAAAACTGCTCGTCTTTTGCGTTTAGTACGGGTAATGACAATTTATTATTTTTTTGAAAACTAAATTTATTTAAAGTTTATTTATTTTAATTTTTGTATTAAATTCAGAACTTTAAAAGAAATAAACTTGAAATAAACTTTATTTAATTCAAGTTTATTTTAAGTTTATTTTCAAGTTTTAAAGTTTATTTTATTTAAATTTTAATCAAATTTAATATTTTTTAATTATTTAAAAAATTAAGGTAGCCAGAAAGCTTGATAGGTACTCTGAATATGGGGCGGCTGTTCTTTTACTTTTAGTAGGGAAATTACTAAATTAAAAAATTTTTATTTCGGTTTAGATGGCTACATTTGCTTTAATTGCTCATTGGCTAGCTTGTAAGAAATTAATTTTTTTAAATTTAATATTTCAAAATAATTTTTTGAGGTATTTGGTATGCCATTGGCTCTACAGAATTACCACATAAAGTTGGTTTAAAATAAATTAATAGTTAAATAATAATTAAAATTTATATTTAAAAATTAATTTCAAGCACTAAAATATTTAAAAAATTTTTAATTTTTAGAATATCACTTGGCTTCATCAACTTTGTAATTTTTAAAAACTTCTTATCAAATGTTTTTTATTTCAGCTCGACATCTAAATGAGCCTTATCTCAGAACTAAAAATGGTTCAATAACTGCTGGGTATGTTTTAAAAAAATAAAACTTTAATTTCAATTGTTTGTCGACTTAGAAATTCAAACTAGGGTTGCTCACTACCGGTTATTAACCGGTACCCCCGGTTTTCGGTTATCGCCGGTTTGCGACCCCCGGTTTTCGGTTCCGGTTTTTGATTTACCCCCGGTTTTTGGTTAACCGGGACCGGTTTTTGGACAAATTTTCATCCAGAATATCCCATTAAGATGTTGTCACATTCTAACGCTTTTAAATAGATATTCTATACACTAGGAGCTGAATAATCTACAAATTTAAACAATTCGAGGAATTAAAGGGTATATGGCGAGATAAAGTTGGCTGATTTTGAATATTAGGAGCAGTGCTGGGTATTTGCCATGTGTTGGCTCCGGCTCCGGGCTTATAAAATCTTGGCTCCGGCTCCAGTTCCGGGCTCCGGAGCCGGCAATTTTCGGAGCCGCTCCATGTTAGCTCAGGGCTCCGGGTGGAAAATCAATGAATTATTTTTCATTGGGGTGATTTTGTTAGATAAGGTGAGTGGATTAAGGACGATATCGGGTAATTAAGCTTGATTAAGGGGAATTTGGGTGAATAACAGCTGGTAACTTTGAGAATTTTGGAAGATCCTTAAGCCAAAAATCTTTTTTTGCGCCGCAGGCGAAAATTTTGAAAATTTTGGAATCTACTTAAGCCAGATTTTTTCATTTTTTGCGCCGCAGGAAAAAAATGAACCGACCGCCGCCCGACTCGAAGAAGACAATCATATTTAAACGGACCTTTATCGAGTAAAGTTCATAAACTAAACCACTTAACCACACATCTCAAGTAATAGAATTGAAAGAAATTATATTTATCGAAAAAGAAAAGTAAGGAAATAATTTGGCTAACTATATTTTGGGAGCTAAAATGTCCTAAAAATCACAAAAAATTCCATCTTTAGGGGTGTATCTTTAAAACCGAAACCGGGCGGTTTTGGTCACCGGTTTTCGGTTATCGCCGGTTTTCGACCCCCGGTTTTCGGTTCCGGTTAATTTGCCAAAAACACCGGTTAACGGTTCCGGTTCCGGTTCGGTTAACCGTCCGTGAGCAACCCTAATTCAAACTTTAAATTAAAAATAAACTTGAATTAATTCAAGTTGGAATTTTTTAGTAAATTTCTTAGAACTTTAATAAAAATAAGCTTGATTTTAAAACTTGATCTATAAACTTGAAATTTCCTAAAACTTATTGGTGAAACTTAAAATATTTTTATTTTTTTTAAAGAGGTCCTTCATTAAAATCTCGTTATGTCACTTCTCTTTATTTTACTTTATCAACCATCACTTCTATTGGTTTTGGAAATGTTAGTGCCACAACTGATTCAGAAAAAATATTTACAATAATTATGATGATACTTGGCTCTTTAATGTATGCCTCTGTTTTTGGAAATGGTTGGGGAAATTTAATTAAAATTTTAATTTAAAATAATTTTTTCCAGTTTCTGCAATTATTCAAAGACTTTATAGTGGAACGGCTAGATATCATACTGGTGAGGAAAAAATTAAAACAAATCAGAATAATTTAAACTCAGATTAAACTTCAAATAATTATTTACGAAAAATTTAAAAAATTCTGATTTTCTATTTTCTTTCCGGAATTAATATATATTTTCCGGAAAAAATATATTTCCGGAAAATAATATAACATATATTTTTTCCGGAAAATATATAAATAAATCTTTCCGGAAATTATAAAATTCTGTTTTTTAAAATTCTTTCCGGAATAAATAAAATTAAAACTTTTTCCTTAGAAATGAGTCGCTTGCGCGAATTCATTCGTTTCCATCAAATTCCAAATCCACTTAGGCAAAGACTAGAAGAATATTTTCAACATGCCTGGTCTTATACAAACGGGATTGATATGAATACAGTAATTTTTGAATTTTAAATTAATTTTTAAAAATTATTTTTAGGTACTTAAAGGCTTTCCTGATTGCCTACAAGCAGATATATGCCTACATTTAAATAGAAATTTGCTCAATAATTGCGCTGCTTTTTCTAAATGCTCACCTGGATGTTTGAGAGCTTTAAGTATGCGGTTTAGAACAACACATGCTCCACCAGGCGATACTTTAGGTTACTGAATGATTAAAGTTTTAACTTGGAATATACAAAAGTGTAAAATAAACTTGAAATAAATTCTGATTTATTATTTTCTTTCCGGAAACAATTTAAATTGTAATTTATAAGGTTCCGGAAAATATTTAAACTTTCCGGAAATAAAATAATAAACCAGAATTTTTAATTCTGATTTTTTGTTTGCTGAAAGTTTAAAAAATTCTGATTCATTATTTTATTTCCGGAAACTTTAATTTAATATTTTCCGGAAACTTTTGAATTCTGATTTATTTGTTCTCATAAACTATTTAATTAAACTCAAATAAATTTTTAAAAATAAACTTTTAACAGTTCATCGTGGTGATATTCTTACCGGTTTATATTTTATTGCACGGGGTTCTGTTGAGATAGTAAAAGATGATTTGGTTGTAAGCATTATTGGTCGGTTATTATTTAATAAAAATTAAAAAAATTTTATTCAGGTAAAGATGAGGTTTTTGGGGAAAATCCAATGCTTAACGAGGATGTTGGTAAAGCTAGGTGAATTTGAAAATTAAAAATTTTTTTCAAATAATTTTTTTAAAGTTGCTCAGTTCGTGCTTTAACTTATTGTGATTTACACAAAATTCTTCGAGATGATCTTTTAGATGTTTTGGAAATGTATCCAGAATTTGCTGAACATTTCTGCAAACATTTATTAATTAATTACAATTTGAGAGACGAAACTTTGTCACGAAAAAATCACCCTCCAAGATTCTTTCATCCTCCGTTAACTGGAAGACTTTCTTCCTCTTCGTCTATACAAAAACAACAAAATCAGAATCAACATAATCAATTACTGGTAATGCCTATGCAACGTGGGGTTAATCAGAATAACAGAGAAAATCTGTGTGAAGGTGTGGAATATTATTTTTATATGTTTTCCGGAAAGTTAACGAAAATTCTGATTTTATATTTTCCGGAAATCATTTTATTCTGATTTATTTCCGGAAAGTTTATTCCTTTCACAAAAATTCTGACTTTATATTCTTTTCCGGAAAGTCTCTTAACAATTAATTTTATTTTTCTTCTGGAAACCTTTATTTTTAGTTTTATTCTTTCCGGAAATCTTTTATTTAATTAATTTTCCATCTACTAATTAAGATTTTCGTGCATATTCCTCTCAATTTCGCCCATTATTTGCGGATGAATTAAGGCCACAGGTGTCAGTCGAAGCGCCAACACCAACTTCAGCTACAATACCACAAGAACAACAAAATTGTAAAAATTAAATTTTTAATAAAAATATTGGAAATTAAATTAATTTTTGTTTTATTTTCGGGAAGTTATATTTCTTATTACTTTTGTTCCGGAAAATCGGAAAAAATATAACTTTCCGTAAACTTATATTTTTACGGAAGATCTATGGAAGATAGTAAATAGTTGAAATATTTTCTTTCCAGAATTATATTTTTTATTATTTATTTCCGGAAATTAATTTTCGAAATATTCTTTCCGCAAAATTACTATTTTATATACTTAATTTCTCCAAAAAATTACAAAAATAATTTTCTTTTCCTAATTAAATATGTTTATTTTAATTTCTCAGCTACATCAACCGGTTATGGTTGTGTTCTTCGTTCACTTACCGGAATGGGTTCAAGTTTAAATGGACAACAACAACAAACAGAAGAAAATAATTACCCAAAATCCCCTCCTCCTCTCCCAATTTCTTCAACTTTTGGTCCAAATATAGACCACACATTTCCAGCTGTTGATGCTTCAGAAAATGGAGGAGGAGAAGAAAGAATATTAAATAATAACAATAATTCCTCATTTTTATTAACTTCATTTCACCCTCCCCCACCTCCTCCACCACCCCCACCTCTTCCCCCACTTCCTCCTTTAAATTATGGAGAACAACAACAACAGTTATATTTATTTAGACAACAACAAAAAAATGAGGAACGTTTCGATCAACTTAATAGGCGTTTGGAAAATATTGAAACGTAAATTAATTTAAAGTTTTATTTAATGGGTAGTTTGGGCGCAGTAGCAGTTTTGGCGCGCCTGATAATAAAATAGTCAAATTCAAACCTAAATTTGTGAAATTTTGCACAAGTATTCTTAATATAGTTATCTCAACTTTTTAAAAATTTTAAAAATTTTGGTTCTTTGTTTGTCAAATTACGGGCAGAAATAGCTATTTTTAGTCGATTTTTTGTCATTTTTCGAATATAACTTTTGTAAAACTTGTCCAAAAATTCTAAAATTTTTAGAAAAGTTAGATAATGAGAGTTTGCAAATTCCGTAGATATTCGTTTTCAATGAACAATTTTAATAAAAAAATTTTTTGCCATTTCTAGAACATTAGAATCAATGCAAAATAAGCTAAACTTAGACTTGGAAGAATTACTCACATTTTTTCGTCACCACCAACAACAACCGACAGAACAAAAATTACCTTCATCCTCTACTTATTATTTACCCAAACAAAAATATTCTTCAACATCTTTAAATTTACAAAGAATTTCCCAAAATATTTGTAGAAGTGAATCAACAACACCTGAGGCAGATGAAAGGGAGCAGGAGGAGGAGGAAGTTGAAGTTGGTGGTAATGGGGGAGTTGGGAGGAGGAAATCAACAAATATTGCAATAAATAAGGTGCTATATTTTAAATTAGAAATAAAAATTTTAAAAAATTTTAGAACAATTCCATTTCTCAAAGAAAAGAACAAACAATTAGAGAAAGTCCAGAAAGCAATGAAGATACTCAACAACAACAACTGCCTTGTTCTTCATCATCAACTATACAACAACAAAAACAACAATTGAGAAAACAACAAAAAATAAATTTAAAGCCAAATACCTCCGAAAATGAAGATTTTTTATTTTTAAATAATAAAACGGGGAAAGTTGAAGAAATTAAAAATCAAAAGAAAAAAGAAAATAATCAGAAGAAGAAAAAGAAAGGAGAGGAGGAAGGAGAGGGAGAAGAAAACGAGGAAAGTGAAAGAAGTGTTTTGTTAGCATCTCCGGAAAGTTCTGATACTGTTTTATAAATTTAGAAAAAAAAGTGCCAATTAAAACATTGCCAATTTTAATTTTTTAAAAAAAGTTATGGCAAAATTTTGAACATAAAGAATATTAAAAAATAAAAATATAAGGAATAAAAATTTGAGAATAAAATAAACATTAAAAAGACTAAGTTAATTAAAACTTGTTTGTAAGAAATAAAAACTTAAGATTAAGCTTAATAAACTTAAGTTTAAAAATAAAACTTGACCTTAAATAATCTTAAACTTAAGTCTAACTTGTTAAGTCTAAGACCTCAAAAAACTTAAAACTTAGGTTTACAAACTTAAGATTGATCTTTAAAAAATAAACTTGACAGCTTAAGTACTTTTGCCATGCCTTTCTATTTGTTTTGTTGTTTTTATATGTATTTTATAATAATGTTTCCATAGTATTATTTAATATTGAAAAATAAAGATTTTTATTATTTTTTTCCAATAACTTTTCTTCAAAAAAAATAATTTAAATTTATTTATTTTTAAAAATAAAATATTTTTAAAACAATTTAAATATTTATTTAATGTCCTGATTATTCATAAAATGGATATTTTGGGGCATAACGATTTTTGCCAAAATGAAATTTTCGTTCCTTGTCGTCAGAAATTGGAACTGGTCCAAGGTAGAATTCTCTGAAAATTTTGATTTAGTAATTTTCTTAACACACATTAAGCTAAAAAAATCTGTCTTATAATGAATTTTATAGTGAAGTGTCTGTATTAGAATATTAAATTTTATAATTAGGTCTGTCTGTACAAGATACACCCTATACTAGACTCGTGAGAATTGGAATTCCCGACTCATAAAAGTCGGAAATTCCTGATTTTCGGAACTCGGAATGGCAATATATCACTGAATACTAGATACCTAACTTCTCAATTTAATATCTTATTTTGCTAGTGGGTAGTAATTATCACAATTAAGATAATTTCATTATAAGACAATTTAAAGAGAGCATCTTATAATGAGGGAAGACAAAAAATTTCCTCTCACTTGTAATAAGGACTAGCCAATGCCGGATAAAGCTCGCTCAATACAGAAGAAGGCATTCTAACCCTCTTTTTGGCAACTTCTTTTCTCAATTGTTCAGTTTCTGGGTCCATTCTGTCCTCCTCATCATTTTCAACATTTTCCTCGTTTTTCCCATTTTTCCCCAAAATTTTTCCAGTTTCGTCTGTTACAGTTACTTGCACAAAATCTTTATTTTGTTGTTGAATAATTCCGTTATTATTATTTTTTGTATTTTTTAAAATTCCAGGCAAAATTGGAATTGTTCCAATAACAATAGGCAAAGAAATGGTGAATTTGGGGGAATTGTTGAACTTTAAAATTAAAAAAATTATTATGTATTTTTTAAAATTAGAATCGGATCTCACGGAGGTTTAGAAAGTCTTATGAATGTTGTATATAAATAGGTATATTCACACAAGAATCTCTGGCGTCTTGCGACAGAAAAAGCGACAGAAAAGGGGAAAGAAAAGTTTTTGCGATTTTGTCTTTCTTTTTGTTAAACGTTATTTTCTATGGCAAGATGCAAGACGACAGTATGTGAAACAGTTTTCCAACCCAGTGGCCAACAAAAATTTAGAAATTGTATATTATTAAATTGAGTCCGCTTAAAATAAATAGTGAGTTGGTCTTGTATATTTTATTATGTACTATATAATTTTTGTAAATTTTCAGTAAATAGTTTAACTCTTGTAATTAATTTGAATTAAAATTTTAAATAAATTTCCCTTGAATTTTTCCCCCATTTTTAAAGATATTTTTGAATAATCTTTTAAATTAATTTACTTGTAATTCCAAACAATAAGAAACATCAATTAATTTACATTTAGTCACCATCCGTGGGGGAATTGAAGGCACTAAAATTGGTTTGTCTTGCCAGTGGAATTCTGTACCTCTACGAATTTTATCGGTGACAGTTACTTTTTGTACTATATGCCGAGTTTGTTTAAATGATTCTGAGCCGTCAAATGTTTTTGACCTAAAAATAAAAAATAAATGAAAAAATAAAATAAGCCCGGAAAATTAATACTTCCTAGGGAGATGGGTAATTTCCGAAAAGGTTAAATTTTCCGAAAAATCAGTATTTTTCTGAAAGATCATTTTTATGTGCAGAAAGGCAATATTTTCCAAAAAAAATTTTTTTAACTTGAAGAAAACCAAAAATAAATTCAAATAAAGTTTTACTAGAAAATACCTGTAATTAACAATTTGGCAAAGGCAAATAGCCACATTCCTTACACTTCTTCTACTTCCATTCTTTATATTTAAACTAACACGAATAGCTTCCCCAGGCGTGTAGCCACCTTTGGCCACCCGAAGCTCTGTTTGAATAGTGCCTAATTTCATGCAGAAGAGAGACACTGGTTGTGTGGAACGAGTTTCCAAAGGAAGGGAAAGCACCGAAAAAATGGAGGATTTATATTTTAAAAAGAATATTTTCTAACTTCAGCCTCGTAATTGAGATCTTCAATGCCTATCACTGTAAAAGCTCGAAAACAGACAATATCAAAGTCCCACGGCCGTTCACATATTGCTCTACAAGTGTAGCGAACAAAACCGTAATCGCCCTCGAAAGAACTTGGCAAGTGTTTTGGTAAAGTGTAAGAGAAAGGAATTTGATGAACGCCGGGAGGGAGTGTTCTTCCCTTAAATTAATGTAAATAAATAAAATAGAACTTGAAAGTATAAAATTACTTTCCGGAAAAGCAAATTTTAAGAAAATCCATTAAAGATTTTCCATTAAGGGTTTTTTACTTAAAAGCTTGCCGAAATACTATTTTATATTTTACTGAGTAAATCGTTCCGAAAAATTCCGGAAAATTTATTTTCCTGAGTAATTATAGCTAGAATTTCCGGAATAATAATTTCCGGAAAACTTATAAAATTATTTCCGGAATAATTACCTACCAATTTCTTAGGGTCACTTTTAACGCTCGAAGAGGAAGTCTTTGCCGTTGGCCTTTGCTGCAAATCATTTAATTGTTTATTATCTTCACAAACTGAAATCTTTTTCAATTCATCTCCATAATTTTTAGGTAATTTGTGTGTATATGTTGTATTGAATTGTTCGCAAAAATAAGCTTCATTTGCAGAACAGGTTTTTCTGGATTGTGTCCAATAAGACCTAGCACGTCCTTTTACCTCTAAAAGTACTTCATTTAGTTGTTTTGGCTCGCTGCATTCAATTACTACCTTTTTTGATAAATATAAAATTATATATTTTTTAATTTATATATTTTTAAATTTATATTTTATTATTTTTCCGGAAAAATAATAAATTTTAAATTAAATGAGAATATTTTTAATTTCTAGAAATGAATAGGCATTTCCATTGTATTCTTTTATTATTATCTTTCCGGAAAAGAAATTTAAATTTGCCTTATAATTTTTTCCGGAAAGAATCTAAATATTCCCTTTGTAATAATTTTCCGGAAAATTCTTAGAATTATATTTTTTTAATATATTTCCGGAAAGGAAATATATTCTATGATTCTTATATTTTCCGGAAAAGTAATATTATTATAGACATTCAGGAAATAATATAATATATTTTTCCGGAACAGTCTATTCTTATAGACGTTTTTGTAAATTTTTCAGGAAGTTTTATTTTCAAAAATTAACCTTTCCAGTAATTTCTTGCCCAGCAAAATACACTTCCTCTATATTATCCAAAAGAATTTCAAATCTATCTAATAATTTTGCTGTTCCAACAACACTACTTTCTCTTCCTTTGGTTAAGCTAATACTTCTTTTACCTCCAATACTCATTGGGGGAGGTTATTTATTTTTTAAATAATTTATTTATTTTCCCGAAAGAAAAAATTAAAGGATTATATAAATTGGTCGATTTTTTAATAATTTTTCGTTTTGTAATAAATTTCTAAGAAAAAAATTTTTAATTGAATAAATTAAGTAAAATAATAAAAATAGGCTTGTATTTAAATTATTCGCGATAATAAAGTATTTCTTTAATTACCAAACAAAAAAAATTATTAGTTATTTATTTCCGGAAAAGATATAAGTATTATAAATAGGGTTGTCGGTTCCTGGAATTTTTCAGATATCCGAAACCGAACCGAAAGATTCTCGGTTCTTCGGTTCGGTAAGAACAGAAAACCCTAATTATAAATTAAACTTTAAATTTATTCCGGAAATAGTTTATTTTCCGGAAAATGAAGAAAAACATGAAACTTCTGTAAGTTATGATTATATTTTTATCAATTTTTTAAGTTAAATCTTAAATATAAATTTAATTTTGTATTCAAAGACATTCTAAAAAATATTTAAAAATAATCAGAAATATCGCAATTTAACCAGAAAAAAAAGAAATTTAAATAAAAAATCACAAAAAAGTTAAAAATCCAAGTTTATGTAAATCTATATGAAAAAATTTTGGGGGGAAATTAAGAAAAATAAAAAAAAAGTCAATAAAATTATGTAAAGTTTTATTAAGTGAAAAGGAAGGGAGGGGAGGGGGATTGAGAGAGGTTAATCGAGTACATAAAAATATTTTTTTCCAAACCACTTTTTACTTCTTCAATTTTTTTATTTGACAGATTCTTCATTATATTTTAAGGTAAAGAACGAAGAATGAAGGAAAGAAAATTTTGAAGAATTTTTAAAGATTTTAAAGGAAAGGAAAGTTAAAAAGGAAGGGAAGTTAAGAAGGTTTTAAAGTTTTTGGCCATTTTTTGTTGACGGGATAAGAAGAAGAAGAAGAAAATGTTTGAGAGGACAAAAGAAAAGATTTTATATGTCTGCTTTCGACAATTGGCAAAAAAGAAAATGAAGGGAGGGGGAGGATAAAGGGGGGGGGGAAGGGAGGCGGCAAACAGTGTAAATATTTTTTCTTCTTTTATTGAGGGAAATAAGCTAAAAAATATTAAAGAGAAGAAAAATATATAAAGTATTTAGTCAAAAACGTTTTTATAATTTATTTGGGGTTAAACTAGCAATTTATTTTTTTTTACTAAAATGAAAGAGATAATTGTTAAAATAATTTTTGGTTGTGACATAAATAGAAACTTGAAACCAATGAATAGTGGAAAAAATAATTTTTGGGAGGATATTTTGGAGGGTTATATTTGGTACAATTTTAATAAAATAACTCTCATATTTAAAAAATAAAAATAATTATTTTAGAATATTTCCGTAAAGTTATGAGAGTTATTTTATTAAAATTAAATTTCTTTTCAGAAAGATATAATTACGCTATGTTTATTTTATGGAGAGTTTATAATTTATTAGTAAAAGTTTAACTATAATTAATATGTATATAGAATTTTCCGGAAAGTTATTATTAATTATAAATTTATTTCCGGAAAGTTCTAACTATAATAAATAAATTACATTTTCCGGAGTGTGTTTATATTTATTCCGGAAAACTTATATTTTGAGAAAGTATATACCTCCTCAAAAATGGACTTTCCGGAAAATGAACTTTCCTGAAATAAATAATTTTTAATTTTTTGTTGCGATATTTAAAAACTATTATGATATTTAACTAAAAATTTAGGGGAGGTTAACTACAAAAATAAAATATATACTATAACACATAAAAATGCCTTCTCTAAAATAATATTCTTTCAATTCTCTAAATATTTTTTTTTTGTTTTTGTTAGCACATCGCCCTTTTCGAAACCTTTCATCCAACAAATTTATTAGGGGATTTACATATTATTATGTGTTTATTTATATTTTTAAATGAAGAAAAAGAGAAAATGTTATAGAAAAATTCAATACGGAAATTATTTAACTATAAAATGATATCAGAATATTTAAACAAAACCAGAAAAAAAAATAAATTCCATTTTCCGGAATGTTTTTAATTATTTAGAGTTATTTCAGAAATTAAACATTTCCGGAAACAATATTCCAAAAAAATATAATTAGAGCAATTTTCCGGAATGTATTTAATTATTTAGAGTTACTCAGAGTTATAACATTTCCGGAAATAACATTTCCGGAAAAATATCCCCTTCTCTCAATAAAATTTATCAGAATTTTCTGGAATGTTTATAATTTCAGGAAAAGTTATTCCGGAAAGTTTTAAAGTTTTGTTTTGCTTATTTTATTTTAGAGTTCATTTTTAAAAAAAATATCAAACAAAAATGGGAGAGAAAAAGCCGTCAACTTGATATATTGAATATCCCCTCTTTTACTCAATACAATTTGCGTGCCTTTAAGCAATCAATCTACTCTATTTTTTAAAACAATAAACAAAATGTTAACACGCAATTTGTGAATTATTTTTAAAATAATTTTTTTCTGGAATTTCTGGAAATATTAATCATTTTAGAAGCTAATTACGGAATATTCAGGAGTTGTTGAGGAGATTTAGGAGTTGAATTCAATCAATACTAACTGGTCATTCAGACTTTAATAGGCCATACCCCGATCTTCCTAAAACTACAATAATTCGATTCAACTAGACAACCCATGTCAAAAATTCCGGAAAACCTATAATTTTCGGAATTTCTATGAGGTATCATAAATATTACTCAAATAATTACATTAACAATAATTACCTCACCCCCCCCCCCCACGTAATTGATCAAAAACTTTTGTTTTTTTATTTTTAAATATTTATACTCTAATTTAAATTTAAAAAAACAGAAAAATCTTTTCCAAATAAATTAATAAATAAAAACTTTAAAAGTCAACAAAAAAATTTCTTAAAATTAAAAACTACTACATACAATTTCTCTATTAATTTATGTATTTTTATTTTAAGCAGAACAACTAACTCCTCCCTCTCCTCCAAAATAATTTTCTTTAGTCAAAGACTGACAATTTTCACAATCACAAAAAGAACATCCATAATTATTATTTTCCTCATTGAACTCAAAATTTATAATATTAGCATATTCACAATCAAGCACTACACGCCAATAAAGGTTTTCATCTTTTTTGACAATTGATTCATTTAAAGCTACAGAAGCACGATAAAAATTGACTGAAAAATAGAAAATTTATCGTTCAATTTTGTAATGGAAAGTTTATCCCAATAGGAGATACACAAACTAGTGTACCTTGTATCAGGGATGTCACGGGTTACCCGAAACCCGGCCTTTTTTTCGACCCGATACACGAAACCCGACCCGAGAAATTTTCTAAAACCCGACCCGAAACCCGACATTTTTCTCAACCCGTGACATCCCTGCCTTGTATCCCAAACTAGTTCTTGACAATCTAAAAACAAATACCCTTTTGTCCTTAATATAACCTATCCCAAAAAATTTTTTTTCTTAATTTTCAAAAAATAATTATTTTCTTACAATTTTCACTCTCTTTACAAACAAGCTCAAAAACTGCTGGAAATCTGTTGCAAATTGAAAGAAGACATCGAGCATCCGGCGGGGATTCAACATTTGATGGAACCATTAATTTCTAAAATTGTTTTTTAATTTAAAATTATTATTCTTCAATCACCATTTCATTAAGCAAAAGTTCAACAGTAGCACTATATTGCAAGTGTTTACGGCGAATTAAAAAGCGAAATAGATTTGAGCCTTTAAAAAAATTTTTAAATTAAACTTTAAAAAATTCAAAATTTTTCTCACATAAATTTTGACGAAGACAAAGCAGCCGAACTTTACAAACAGGTTCAGCAACAAAAATCATTCCATTCTCATCAAATTTTAAAAGATCACCAGATTGAAGAAGCAATACAGCACTTGGTATTGTATTGTTAAAATAATGATTGTTTTCGCTTTGACGAGCAGATTTCATAAACTGGAAAATTAAAAGAATTATATAGAATTAGAGATAAAAATATTTCCGGAAATCCGGAAAATATAATTGTTCAGGAATGCATAGGCATTAATTAAAAGGAATACTAACCGGGAAATATATAGTTTCCGGAAAATATTATTATAATATAATATAAAACTTTCCGGAATATGTAAAAAAACTCAAGGAAACGTAAAATAATTTCCGGAAAACAAACTTTAAAGAATTTTGACAAATAGTAAAATTCACGGAATTTGTTAAACGCTTCAAAAACTATTTTTAATTCTTAAAAAAAAAAATTCCTTACCAACTCAAAATCACAATATTGCTTAATATCACATCCTTTAGGGTATTTAGATGCTAGACGTTGCAAATAAAACAATACACAGCCAAAATCAACACCAAATTTGCTAGCATATGCTAATTCTAATGGTTTATCAGCTTGAGACAAAAACTTCAAACTTGAAAAAAAATAAATTTACGGAAAAATTTTATTTTAAATTTTTGTTTAAAATTTTTTTAAATTTTGAGATTCCAATTTTTTCAATTAAAATTTCAATTCAAAAATTTTTTTTATTTTTTTAATTTTTTTTATAATTCAAAAATTTTTTTTCAATTTTCCAAAAAAAATTTTTAATCCTTACAATTCCTGTGTGTGCCGTTTACGTATTGAAAGAATTTTGGAATAATTTTGTATTCGCCCATCAGTAGAAAGCTCAAAAGCTGGAACTCGTCGATCATGAAATGTATCCTCTGATGTATCAACAATTTTTGATTTTTGAGAAGGAGGCTCCTAAAATTAAAAAAAAATTCTAAATTGAAATTAAATACATTCTCAATCCCCAATATAAGTTACGCCCACTAATTTCAATTTTTATATCTATTGGGTGTCAAGGGCGTATCCAGGGGGGGGCTGGGGGGGGCTAGAGCCCCCCCCGAAATGGGGGAAAGGGGGAAAAAATTAGGAGAAGGATGGTCGAAAAAGTGAAATTTTTTCGCCTATAACCCTCAAATTTTAAAAAATTTTCGCCTGCGGCGCAAAAAATGGAAGAAATCTGGCTTCTTGAGCTCCAAAATCCTCAAAATTTTCGCCTGCGGCGCTAAAAAGTAAACTTTTTTGGCCTACGGCCCTCCAAATTCAAAAAATTTCTGCCTGCGGCGCTAAAAAAAGGAAGAAATCTGGCTTCTTCGGTTCCAAATTCAAAAAAATTTTCGCCTGCGGCGCTGAAAAAGTGTATTTTTTGGCCTACGGCCTTCTAAAATTCAAAAAATTTTCGCCTGCGGCGCTGAAAATATAAAAAGTTATGTACAAAAAAATTTGCCGTAGGAACGCCAAAGTAAACGCCAAAAATTTTTGCGCCCACCCAGTGTTAGCCCCCCCCCGAAACCGACCCCCTGGATACGCCCTTGTTGGGTGTGGAAAGCAAAAAAGAGACAGCCTAAAAAAAGTTAGGGGTTCACCGACTTGACTCATCCCGAGAAAAAAGTTACCCACATAAAAGACAACCCCAATTTAAGATAATTACGCCCCCAAAAAACATATAAAACAGAGGGTTTGTATTAAATTTAAAAAAATTACAAAAACAGTAGAGCTAATCCCGCATTCATTAAAATTATTAATATCCTTCTTTTCATCATTCTCAAGTTGTTCAACATCAATAGTCTCAGGGATTTTATTCGTATTGCTTGTAGTAACCAAAGGAGTAGATTTAACCTTAAAAGTACTTTTTAATTTTTTCCTAGTAATTTTTAAAAACCTTAGTTTCCTCTTCTTCTTGCTCCAAATCATCCCAAATAGTAGTTGATTGATTTATTATATGAGGAATTGTAACATCATTTTGAACCTCTGGAGTTATCGGAAGTCCGATATCATTATTAGTTGTCTTTAAAAAATAAAAATAATTTATTTAAAAATTAATTTCCAAGGGAAAATTAAAATTCTAAACATTTTCCCTTTAATTTTTCTTTTACCCTTATGAAAAAATAGTGAACAAAATTAATTTAAAAATTGACGGGCAAACGAAAAGGACATGTCTAATTATAGACTATTTCTCGTAATTAAAAATCTTTTTTCGTGAAATCGTTAAAAAGATGAAAGTTATAAAAAAACATATGGCCATCTGACTTTGCCAACCAAATTTAAAAAATATATAACAACTGCGTGTACGGTCAAATGAGGCCAGCTTATTTATTTTTAAAAAATATTAAAAAAACCTTTTCATTCCTCTCTTCTTCACAATCATTCATCATCCCCAAATCCTCTTCAAAAATATTCCCACCATTCTCCACAACATTTTCATTGTCAATATTTTCTTCAACAAAATTATTTTCATTAATTATCTCAAAAGCTGAAAGTCCTCTAAGTTGTTCTTCATCCATCGGAAGTTCATCTAAACGAGGTAATCCACCCAAATTATTTCCTCCTCTATTTAAATTCGTTTGTTGTTGTTGAATATTTGAATTATTATCATCAATTAAAGTCCCAATTGAACTATTACTTATTGAAGCAGAAGCTGACGATACTTGGCTAGTTGGCTGTTGCAAAATATTTTCTTGAAAATTGGGTGGGATGCCCATTATTCCACCAGCACGCCCTCCAAATGAAGAATTCATTCGATGTTGAGAAAACTTTAAAAACAAATTTTTATTAAATTAAATGCCCAATTAATTGGAGCTTTAAAAAATATTTAAAAAATATCTTAAGGTGTTAGGAAAGGATGTAGCCAAAATAGAACAAAACGTCTTCCACCTCTCCGAAAGTTTTTATTAAAACATTTTCTAAAGGATCCCCTTCACTAAAAATTAAATTCTGACTTTCAAAACTAAAAAGAAAATAAAATAAATAATTTGGTGAGAAACCACGTCAAAACTCAAGTGGAAAAATTTTTAAACTTTGAGTGACAACACTTTTTTTAGAATATTTACGTGCATTGGACACAATTTTCCGTCCTTTAATGGTAGAAAAACTAGAACTTCGTGGCACTTTTTGTCCTTATTGTAAGCAAAAAAAGAGAATACAGGAATTGAAGAGAAAATGGAAGTCCGCAAACGCAAATATTAACAAAAAAAAATTATGAAAATATAAAAAACCTGTTGATGTTGAATAGGTGGCGATGGAATTGAATTATTAATAGTAAATTGTTCAAAACCAGGAGGCGGTTGAGAATATAAAGGCGGAGGCTGTCCCATTTGTGGTGGATGTGGAAAAAATCCTGGAGGACAAAACATTGGCGGAGGAGGCCCGTATGGTTGAAAATGATGAATAGAAGATGAAGGAGTTGTAGCTGAGGAACCACCACCAATCCCTCCATAAAGCGAAGTATTTGAAGGTGAAGTGGACGTTGAGAGTGACTAAAAATTAATGAAAATAAAAAACTTTTAAAATAAATACTCGTTGCTGCAAAACATTTTTTTCGTGAATCTTTTGTCGACAAATATCAGCCAATTTACTTAACTTCAAAACTTCTGCTTCATCCAACAAATCTTCAAAAAAATAAAAGTTAAAATCTCTCTTATACAAATGTAAAGAGTCATAGGGTAATTACATATGAATTTCGCCTCCCCCTTTGCCCTCCATCAAAAAGTAAATAATGGTCAGATTTACTTCCTTTCTCAATTTCAATACATTTCCCCGTAGCTTATTTAAATAGGACACAAATTAAGAGTATCCAAGTATTTACAAAACTAATTGAAATAAAAAAACCTTCCCAAGAATGACCAGGTTTGACTCCATTAATTTTTCCAATTCGCAAATATTTGAGAATATATTCAAAATAATCTGGATTAGCGTCCAATTGCCAACGGCCATTGCCTGAGTCTGGATTCTTAAAAAAATTTTTGAAGAGAAAAAATTAAATTAAAAAGGCTGAAACAAAGTCAAAAAAGCCATAAACACCCCGAATAGTGTTTCTAAAACCCTCCATCCCTAAGTACAACTTAAATTTCAAAAAAAGTAAAAACAAACAAAAGATATTAAACCGCCGCTATCAGTAAATAATTGATCCGGATCAACGTCTTCCTCAACCATTTTTGCCAAATACGATGTTGGATCTCTAGCTAATGAAATCTTTGATGCACGGAACTCCTATAAAATATAAATAATAAACATTTAAAAAAATCATTCGTGCCTGTCCGCAAGTTTAGTCAGCAAATATTAAAATCAAATTCAGGTAACCCCTATATCCAGCGAACTAAAGATCTCCCAAGTATAAACACGCTTATTGTCAGTATACTAGGGACGGGATTGATTGAAAAATAAGGACGTCTCCTAGTCTCTAACTCAAAACGAGGCTATAACCTCGCAACATTGGCCCAGTCAAACCCAGTTCCGACAAAAACCCCTTTTTAATAACAGACACACTTAACGCCCCAATAATGAAAAAAAAATTTAGATTCAAAAAAAACCTTTCCAAGAATATCCAAAACCACCCAACCTCCAGTATATGCTGAGCTAGCCAAAGAAACATTGCTGCAACTTTTACGCATTGGACCACCAACATCTGAGTCAAAACTTAGATTACCATTATTATTATTTGATAAATTCATATTCTCTTATAAAAAATGAAAAGTTAAAATTAAAAAGAAAATTTTTAAAAAAATTAATGAGAATCCGCAAATTTAATCCGCAAGATTCCTCCCCGAAATAATCCCTTATATCGATTTAAATAAGAGAATGTCTTTTTAAAATGAAAGGCAAAAAGAAACTTTAACCAGAACTTCATTGATTTACCCCAAAACTTAATGCTTGGGAATAATTTTTAAAAATTATTTAAAAGAGGGTAATGGCGCGCAAATTTAAAAAAAAATCGAATTTTTATTAAAAAAATATTTCTTTTGATTAAAACAAAATTTAATTTTTAAAAAATTAAAGCAAATTTAAAAAAGAAAAATTATCAATATTTATCAACATTTTATTTTTATCTCATAGCTAAATAAAATTTTTAAAGATATTTTAAAAGTCAGAGAAAAATCTCTCATTTTTCCATTATCTTTTTTCTTTAAATTTTATTTAGCTATAAAACAAATATTTTTTGTCGCAAAATTTTTTTCGAAATTATGACAATATGATGCACATTAATTAAATATTATCAGGAAATAAAAAAGCAGGAAGAAAAAAAGAATATATTTAAGAAATAACAAAAACAAAAAAAGGCTTTGGATGAGCTTAAAATTGTGTTTATTTGAAATGTTTTTTAGTAGTAAAAATGGAATTTAAATTTAAATTAAAGAAGACCAATTAAAATTAAATATATTTCTCTCTGTGGTTTTTGCAAAAAAAATTTTTTTTAGAAAACTTTCCTGCTTATTTTGATTCCCAAAAGATTTAAAAAACAGGATTTAGAGATTCTACAATCAATATCTTGCTCGGAAAAATATTAGAGAATATTCATAAAAATACTAAACTTTTACGGCTCCATTTTAAGCCTCTAAACCAGGGCTCGCGTCGACAAAATGCCAATCAAAATCTTGATTAAAAAGTAGACAGGGACTAAATTTGCAAATAAAAAGTACACTCAAAATTAAATTAGAAAATATTTATTCGTGCTCAAATGTTTTATATTTCTCTCCTAAATGAATCTTTTCTAATAATTTCTTGTTTCTACTGAGCATTTTGTGCATTTCAATGCACGTTTTTGTGGCGCCAAAGGCGCACACACTTTTAAAAAAGTACGAATGCGAGCCCTGAACTAATCATATCGCGATATTTCAAAATCTTTTCATCATCTGAAAAATTATTTTATTATTCCAAGTTTTACTCTTTTGTATTGCAAATTTATTCAAGTTTATTTTTTATAATCTTCGCTTTTGTAATTTAGGGTTTTGTAATCCCTTATTCAATTTTACAATTGTAGTTCAAGTTTATTTTTAAAGTTCATTCTATTCCTTACCAATCAAGTTAGTCATAAACACCTCACATTCATATATTAATGGCAAAACTTGATATTTGTGTGCAATAGCAAAAATGTCCTCAACATGCTTTTCCAACAAATTTTTGTTTATTTCGCCAGTATAGAAAAATTCTAGCATTGCCTGAACAGATTCTGGTTTGAAATCCGGAATTGTGACTTCTCTCTAAAATTATTTTCTAAAATTTTTCGAATTTTTTTAAATCCCTAAACCCCGAAAATCAACCTTTCCCCTTTTTAAAAATAAAACACAGTCACTCCTTCAATCATATCCGTCTGCTCAAACATTTTTCGGAATACTTTGCTGTTCTTTGCTAAAATGCATCGATGTATTTCTATAGCCATATCCGCAACCTGGAAAAATAAAAATTTTGTATTTTTAGACTATTTCAGAATGATTGAGGGAGTAACTATTTCAGAAATAGTCTAAAAAATACAATATTTTTATTTTTCCAGGTTGCGGCACAGCAAAGTATTCCGAAAAATGTTTGAGCAGACGGATATGATTGAAGGAGTGACTGTGTTTTATTTTTAAAAAGGGGAAAGGTTGATTTTCGGGGTTTAGGGATTTAAAAAAATTCGAAAAATTTTAGAAAATAATTTTAGAGAGAAGTCACAATTCCGGATTTCAAACCAGAATCTGTTCAGGCAATGCTAGAATTTTTCTATACTGGCGAAATAAACAAAAATTTGTTGGAAAAGCATGTTGAGGACATTTTTGCTATTGCACACAAATATCAAGTTTTGCCATTAATATATGAATGTGAGGTGTTTATGACTAACTTGATTGGTAAGGAATAGAATGAACTTTAAAAATAAACTTGAACTACAATTGTAAAATTGAATAAGGGATTACAAAACCCTAAATTACAAAAGCGAAGATTATAAAAAATAAACTTGAATAAATTTGCAATACAAAAGAGTAAAACTTGGAATAATAAAATAATTTTTCAGATGATGAAAAGATTTTGAAATATCGCGATATGATTAGTTCAGGGCTCGCATTCGTACTTTTTTAAAAGTGTGTGCGCCTTTGGCGCCACAAAAACGTGCATTGAAATGCACAAAATGCTCAGTAGAAACAAGAAATTATTAGAAAAGATTCATTTAGGAGAGAAATATAAAACATTTGAGCACGAATAAATATTTTCTAATTTAATTTTGAGTGTACTTTTTATTTGCAAATTTAGTCCCTGTCTACTTTTTAATCAAGATTTTGATTGGCATTTTGTCGACGCGAGCCCTGGTTTATACATATGACGCGCCTACTCTTGAGAAGTTAGCTTTTTCAGATTTTGTTTTTCTGCGCCTAATTTTTGGCACCGAAGGCGCCAAAAATCTTGATTTCTTGCGCCGCAGGCGAAAATTTTTTGAAATTTGGAGCCCAAGAAGCTATATTTTTTCCTTTTTCAGCGCCGCAGGCGAAAATTTTGAGAATTTCAAAGGCCGTAGTAGGCCAAAAAAATACATTTTTTTGCCCAATGTCTTCCCCAATTTCATTTTCAATCCAAAATGTTAATTTAAAAGTAGAATACTTTTAAAAAAGTACGAATCGGAGCCCTGTTCTAAAGTGACCAAAAAATGCTCAAAAAATTTCAACAAGTCTTCCATTAATTACAAAGTGGTTGGAAATGAATAAAGAGAAGGGAATTAGTCGAAGAAATAAACAACTTTAAAAAAAGGCAATTCCACTTTAGAAAAAAAAATCAAAAAATTTTTTGATGACAAAATGTCCCCTTTGACTAATTTTTAAGAATTTTAAATCCTTTCCTTTCTACAACCTTTTTTTACAAATTTAAAGAACCATACATCCCTTCCATGAACGCTTTGCACGCTTCTTTCCATCTGTTTGATCAATTGGGTGTGCCCCATCAGCAGTAAGTGTTCCTTGCTTTTTACGTTTTAATTCTCTCATTAAGTCGTAGAAAACCTTAAAAAACAGGAAGTTATGCTAAAACTCAAACTAAAAATTAGGATGACCTTAACGACATGTTCATTTCGAATCGTTTCGATGCGAAATAAAAGTCCCTAATTAGGACCAATTCACTGCATCAAGCCCGTAACCAGGATTTTTTACGGGGGGGGGGGGCAAGGAGCCAAAAAATTCACTTTTTTCCCCAGCCCTTCCCCAAATTTTTTCCTTATCCCCATTTAGGGGGGGGGGGTTCCCCATACCTCCCCTGGCTACGGGCCTGCACTGCATGGCTTAATTAACTCATTTGCCAAGGTTCACCGCGTCTCAGCGCGCTAGATTAGTTGGTAGCAAAATCGAGATTTGACAATTAAAAAAAGATAATAAAGAGGAGTGGTCCCGTGGCTAATTAGGATTGTGGAAATCCATGGTTATCCTGATTCGAATCAAATTTTTATTAGGAGCAGGATATCAGGACTCTAACAAGGACATACCCATTAAAAACATTTTAAAAAACAGACATTGCCTATCAATCAAAAAATAATTTAAAAACCTTATCCACATTAGAACGTGTTTTTGCCGAAGTCTCAACATAAGGACAACTCCAAAGTTCTGCGCGTTGTTGAGCCAATTCAATAGGCACACGTCTTTCTGTATCACCCAAATCTGATTTATTTCCAACCAAAACAATAGGAATTGTTGTGTCGAAGTTTTTGACACGAAGGCTTGAAAAAAAGAAAAAAAAAGTTTTAAAAATTAAAAAAATCAAAACATTTGTTCTCGAAATTCAATTGTTTGATCAAAAGAATCTGGATCGGTTATAGAGAAAACACAAACAAAGGCTTCTCCACTTCTGTAGTAATTGTCTCTAAAATTTGAAAAAAAATTAAAGTAGATCCAAAAGTCAGAAATTTTTGGTTTGGATATGGAAGCGGATATCCGTTGATTTCTCAGGATTTGCTAATAATAGTTATGGTTCCAGGATTTGGAAATTGTTTGAAACCGTAGAAATGTTTCAACCTGAACCCTTCAATCCATGGATATAAATGGCTTAACTCGCAAAGGTTTTTACTTGTAGTTGAGGAAAAATTCAGAGTAGCCCCGTAAATTTAAATGTAAATAATAAGGAAATCCAAGCCTTACTAGGGAAGGTTGCGAGGTGTCCGAGCTAAAAACGGTCGAGACCAGGCTCATTCGATGAGAATGTGCCCTTTCTAGCAAGGATTTTGAGCCATTTTTGCCCGTTTTTTGATTTGGCCAAGATATGGCCTTCCAAAGTTCATTTTCACCAAGGAAAATAAGATTGGAAAGAGAAGGCCATGTAAACTAACAAGATACCAGAACCCATACAAGAATCCCGAGCCCATTAAACAATTAACGAGATTTCCTTGTTTCTGTCACGACACATTCTATAAACATCCCTTTGCCTCTTATATAAGAAAAAAATTCAAAAGGGAATAAAAATCCCTTCAAATTTAACAACCTTATAGCAGAGTAATCCTCTTGTCCAGCAGTATCCATAACATCACAAGAACATTCTTCTCCATCCAAAACAACCCTTTTTCTATAGGAATCGGCTTTAGTAGGTTCATATTCTTCCACAAACTTTTTTAGAAAATTAAAAAATTTTTAAAGCTTATCAAAAAAACCTCATCATAAAGAAATTGCAAAGTTAAAGCAGATTTCCCAACTCCCCCACTTCCAACCATTATAAGTTTGTGAACAGAAACAGGGTTTGAGCCTTGTCCAGCAGTACTCATTGTTGTTAATGTAGAAATGTTTAATTTTGGATCTAAAAATTAAAAAAAAATTTTAGAGAATAAAAGACATTTGGTCCCAATTTTAAAAAACCCCCCTAAAAAATCAATGCTGATTTTGGGTATATTTTCGGTAAAATTCAAGTTCGTTCCCCCTCCTTTTCCGTCCTCATAGTAGTAAAAATGGTCACTCAGTCTTAGGTTATAGAACTCAACGAGCTGACTGACCATTTTTTAATACTTTGAGGAATGAAAAAGGAGGGGGGACGAACTTGAATTTTAACATATTTTCTTTTTAAAAATCAACTTAATTATTTAAATAAAGGAAAGGAAAATTGAAAAGTTTACTTTAAAAACATCAAAAAAAATAGAAAAAAATTTTGATTTAAGGGCGAATAGAAAAATGAAATATTGGCCAAATAAAATTAAAATATGGTAATCCTTTCAAAATGTCTAATATCTCAAAAAGCCCAAAAGGACAAAATTTTCAGAACGCCCAACCGTAGAAAGTTTCTCAAAATGTCAGGAATTTTGATAATGATAAACTCTCAATGTCAAATGCATATTTTATAGGACGAACTTCGTTTAAGTAGGGTTGGGGTTTTCGAGTCGGGCCGACATTCGAGTCATCTTTTCGGACTTCATTTTTATCGGGCCTGCCCGACCGAGTCTTTTTCTGACTAAAATGCGATGCCCGACCCGATCTTTCGGACCGGGCCGGATCGGGCCCTCAACCCTAGTTATAAGGTACCCTCAGATTTTAATACCTAACATTATAAGATACAACATTTACATCCCGAAGTGTAAATTTTATAGTAAGGTGTTAACCAGAGCCCGAATTTCTTTACCGTATTACCATACGGAATACTGATACCTTCGGTAATATGATACGGTTCGGGCTTTAGCTTGGGCTGTATTTTTAATTCTTTTTCAAAAAAAACAATTAATTGAATTACCCGGTCCAAAAGGATTTTTATTCCTCATTCCCTTCTCTAAATCATTCCCTTCTCCTTCTTGTTCTTCCCTTTCCAAACAAATACCACAACAACAAAAAGCGTGGAATATCCATTTAAAGAATATCCATAATGCTCTAATTCTTATTTGTAACCAATTTTGTATTTTAAATATTTTTTCTCTAAAATCTTCCAAAATATCTTCTCTTCTCATTTTTGATCATTTAAAAGAGGAGAAAACTAATTTTTGATGTAAATTTGTTGAAGTCAGAGAAAAGAAAATAGTGTGTAAATGTTAAGAGAGAAATTAGAAATTAGAGAAAAATATGTAAAAATTGTGTTGTTTTTAGGGTTGAAAAAAGTTTTTATAGGAATATGTAATCAGATTAAATAAAAATATTTGTTGTGTTATGTATTAACTCTTTTTTCTCTCTTTTTTTCTGGACAATTTTTGGAAAGCTGACAAAAAAAATTTTTTTAATGTTTAAAATTTAATAAAAATACATACAAGCAAAAGGAAAAAATGCAAAATTTAAAATAAAGATTTGAAGAATAAAGATGGATCAAAAAGTATTGAAATAAATATGTACATAGAATTAAACAGAAAATTTGGAACATTCAAAGTTTAAATTAGGGTAGCATACCAAGCCTTCGGGGGTAGGAGTGTCGGATTTCTGGGTTTGTCGGAATAGAGCCTTCGGGGCTCGGGTCGGGGTTTTTGCCTAAAAATTCGTCGGGTCGGGGTTTCGGGGGACGGGGTGCTACCCTAGTTTAAATCATATATTAACTGAAATTTTAATTTTTACCATGACTTTGAATTTTAGAGAATTGATAAAATTGTTGTTTCGGAATCGATCCGATCCGAAACTAAAAAACCAAGGATTTTTAGGGTTGGTTTCAGTATCCGAAGATTTTCATTAAATCGACGACAATAGGGATCTATTTTGTTTATAATATTCAATAAAGGGGGTTCCTTTAAAAAATATAATTATTTTCTTAAAATAAAAATGCGAGAATTTTAATAAACAAAAAATAGAAGAGTACACAATAATTAATATATTGCGAATTAAATTTAAAAAAAAAATAATTTTTGCGCTGAACACAATAAAAATAATGCGGGATTCTCCTATTTTTTATTTATTAAAAAAAGTCGCGCAATAAAAAAGAGAGAAAATAATAAATATGCAAAGAATGAAGGAATGTTTTGATTGAAAAATAATTCAATTTTTGTGAAAAAGAAAAAAATAGGAGGGAGGGAAGGAAAGATTGATGAAAATTTTATGTTTGTGGGGATGTGTGCGTTTATTCGTCTGATTGCAACACACAAAATTTTATTTAGACTGAAATTCTTTTTATTTTTAGATTAGTATGTATTTTAAACAAAAATGTGATTAGGTACTAAAAAAGTGATAATTAGGGTTGCCAAAATGGATCGACTCAGACCGAAAGATCGAGCCGGGCATAGATGTTTGGCCCGAAAAAGACTCGTACGGCCCGACTCGATAAAAATGAGGCCTAAAAAATGACTCGATCATCGGCCCAACTCGAAAACGGCAACCCTAGCAATAATATATTTAGTGGTTTAGACTAGAGCGAAAGGACTGGAAGCGTCACACAAGAATCTCGAAAAGTGCCAATCTTGATAACTGAAATTTCTGTTCGAAATCTCGTCTCGGTTCTATCTCTATTTAGTTTTGATCCTCCTTTTTATAATACAAGAGACGGGGAGAAATTCCTCAATTTTTGGGCAATTTTGAAAACTTTATTTTTAACTATTCAAAATTTCCAAGTCTTAATTTTTAATTTTAAACTTAAAAAAGAATTAAAGAATGAAAAAATAAATAATTTTTAAAAATAATTTAGTAAAATTATTCAGTGACAACACGATTATGCAAAAAAACGTAAAAATAGAGTTGAAAAGTAGACTCCATATATTTACTTACGAGAATAAAATAATATTTATTATTACTATTTTTGGACAAAAAAGATGGAAAAAAAGAAAAATAAATGCTAGGTCATTCAAAGCACAGACCGAGAAAATTGAAAAGAGTTGGTCAAACAAAAGGTCATATTAAATATTTGTTTTGAGGACCTCCCCCCCCCCCCCCCCACCTCCACATTACCAAAATGCATGGGAGGTAAAGGAGAGTCTCAAGCTTGACCCCCCAAAATCCTTTAGATTTCCAAACGACTAGTATGCCTAAAAATGCCTAAACTTCCATATATGCCTGAAAATTTAAAAAATTTTTCAAGTGAATAGACGGCATTTTTTATATGGACGGTGTTTTGGTCGGCCCATGTCTTGTGCCGCCATGAGATATACCTAAAAAATATCCTAGAATTTTTTTTGCAAATAAATTTTAGGGAAGATGACCTAGCAAAATATAATAATTTCTTTTCTCGCATCCTAAAATGAAAAGAATTTTTAAAAAATAATTTTGGTTGAATCAAGAAAGTGTAATACTAATAAATAAATATTTTATATTATTTTTCGCAAAAACAGGACAATCTGCAAAACAAAAAATTTAAAAATAATCGGATTCAAAAATACCAAAAAGTCTATTTAAAAATATGTAAAGTCGAAAAATTAGAAAAAAATGAGGGAAAAATAAAAATTTTTGGCAATAAAATTAAGACCTAAATTTTAGAGAAGCATGCCAAAAGAAAGGAATTTTCAGAGGAATTTCAGAATTTTCAAGAATTTTTTTTCAATTTTCAAACCTCAGATTCTGATTAAGTTAAAAATTTGGGTTAAAACTAATCGAACTTAAACCGAAAATCGGGTGTCCAAAACCGGCCATAACCGAAAACCAAGGAGTACCAGCTAAATCGCCAACAACCCTAGTTTTAAAACGAAAAGTTAAATGAGAAAAACGAAATTAAATTAAAAAGAGGAAACACAAAATACTAAAAAAAGGGTTTAGATAACAGACAATAAATTTAGAATAAAATTAAAGATCTGATTGGGGGTTGGAAACAAAATTTATTAGAAACATTAAACAATCACTTTTCTTAATCTTTTGGTTTGATAAAGACTTGTTTGTTTAATGATAAGAAAGGGAGGAAAATAATTTTTCAATAAAAAGATTTTTTTTAATTAAATTTTTAAAAATTAAAAATGGAAGAAAAAATAGGTAGGGGAAATTAGTTTTTAAGAATAAATTTAATGAATAATTTTTTTGAATTTTTATGAGATGTCGTTGAACACAATAAAAATAGAAGAATTTTACAAAAATAAAAAAATATAGGCTAACGAGTATTAAATAAAAAAATAAATAAGAGAGAGAGATTGAATTGTATAGATAAAAAAATAAAAATAAAATAAAGAAGCCGACGACCGATTAAAACAAGTAAAAGTTTCTCTCCTTTTTCTTCAAAGCATTTAGTTGGTGTGTGCTTTATTTTTACTTTTAAATATCGCTTTTCATTTTTTAGTGATTATTGAGAGGGGATTAATAGGTAAATTTAAGAGTATTTTTTGGAAACTTTATAAATTTAATTGAGGAAAGCTATTAGTCGAAGAAAAAAGATTGAGAAAAAATTGTATGTTGAAGCAACAAAGGAAATATTAAAAATCAGAAGCTGAAGCAAGAAATTTGAAAACAAAGAGAAAAATTGTAACAAAAAGGGTATGTGACTCAAAAGAATTTTTTGAAGAAAAAAATTTCAATTTTGGAGCAAACCCCAAATAAATCCCCAAATCCAAATAAATACTCAAATAAACTCAATTTTTACAGATAATATCAGTATAAACAAGTCAAACAGCTTGTAAAATGAAGCAAGCAAGTTGAAGGTGGTAAAGGGGAAGAATAGAAGAGAAAAGTAAAAATAAATAAAAGTAAACCAAGTGGAAAGCTTGTTTATAAGTGATTGTTTGTGTTTGGAATTGAAAAGAAAGGGAAAAAAAGTTGGTCTTATTTAATATCACTTTTTACGTTTACACAAGCTTAACAGTGGAACGAAGATTAATTGAGAAAATAAAATTATTTTTAAAAAAAGAATAAAATAATTATTTGTTGACCGGAAAGAATTGTGGTGAATTTAGTAATAGACGCTATCAACCGGAAATTATTATATTCTGGTCCGGAAAAGGTTAAGTTTGATAGAATTAGACGGAATTTAAAAATATTAACCGGAAAATTTATTTTCTAACATTTTTCCGGAAAATCTACAATTTTTATTTTAATGTTGGAAATAGAATAAAATAAAAATAGAACCAAAAAATATTTTTAAAAAATAAAAATGTTGCCATGGAAATATTTTTAGTGAATTAAAATGTTGAAAAAATTATTTTTAGTAGTTAAAAATCGAAAATAATTGGAAAAATAGTAAAAACCCGTCAAAATCAGCATTATACAAAAAATGAAAAATTTAACCCGGTTTTTATCAATTTTAAATACCCCAAAAATAGTAATTTATTTAATTATAAATACAACCCTTTTACTTTCTTCAAATAAAAATTAATTGAAAAATAAATTCCCCACCTTTAATAGATCAATTTCCGTTTTTCTCTCGCTCAGTAAACGGTCCACAGATTTTGTTGGCTAATGAAGCAAAAATAAAATGGAAATTGATTTTAAATAAATATTTTGAATAGTATTTTATTCTTTTGTTTATTTGTTAAGCTAAAATTTAGAAAAATTGATTGAGAAAAAAGTAAATAAATAAATAGAGAGGGTAACCCCCTTGTACTCTTTTTTTGTTCAAATTTTTGGGAAAAACAATTAAAATTTAAATAATAAAATAATCTAAATTGTTTAAACTCAAAATAGGAAGGAAAGGATGGAATAAGCTTTATAGATTTTTATTAAGTGAAATATTTTTAGAAGAAATTTTTAAAAATAATTCTTTTTCTGGGAGTAATTTCTAGACTTTCTTATATTTTTAAAACAAAATTTATTTTATAAAATAGTGGGTCTATGCTCTGTGGGATTTCGCTCAGGAGCCGACTCCGTGCGGAGCTAAGATTTTAAAAAAAGGCTGGGGAACCAAAAATATCAAATAGTCTTTAATACAGCCTCTCCAAATTTAACTTTTAAAAAGCCAAAAAACAATTTTCTTAATAAAAATACAAAAATCTCTCTCGTTTTATTTCAAAAATAAAAATAGATTAAAGACTAATATCTAAAATAAAAAAAATAAAAGTATAAAAATGAGAGCATTTTTAAAATCTCCGAAAATGGTTTTGAGAGGTTCTATTCGATTAATATATTGAGTGTATAAAATTGAAGAAAAATATTTTTTTGATAGAAATTGGGAGGAATGTGTGTGTAAATAAAAAAAGAAAATAAATGAATCATCAATAATTTCTCTTAAAAAAATTTTTTTGGCTGTTTCATGAAAAATAAATATTTTTTTAATGATGATAAAAAATAAACGTGGAATTAAAAATTTAATCAGGGGCAGATAATAAATGAAAATTAAGAAGCTTTAGGGGTATGTTAGTCATTTAGAAATGATAGTCAACATTAAATTCTCACATTTTTGTCCACCTTTTTGAACACCACTGTAAATTGAGGGGGAAAGAGTTGAGGGTAACCGAGGCATTTCACTTTTTCTCAGAAAAAAATTTCTCGTAATTTATTCAGAAATTTTTCTTTTAAAAATTTCTCCCAATAACCATATTTGACAAAAATCTAAAACCAGGGGGTCTAAAAGTCGGATTATCCGGAGGATCTGAAAATTGAGGGGTCTAAAAATTGGATTATTTATTTTTTAGATTATTCAGTCAAAAAACATGTTAACAACAAACTATAAAATTTTATCTCAAAAACGGAGCCGGAACCAAAAATCTGTAGTTTCAAAAATCAACAGAGTTGTCCACAAATATTTTTATAATCATTTAAAGAAAAGGTATTTATTAGAAATTTCTCTAATTTCTTTAAATTGTAAAAATAAAATAAAAATTCATCAAAAATTACAAAAATGCTTTTATTCTAAAAAATGATAAACATAGCAAATGAAATATTTAAATTTTCTTATATTTTTAAATAACAGAAGAAACTTTTTAAAAATTAAATTTTAAGCAAAAAATTACAATTTCCCATCAAAATTATTTTAATTTTAAAAAACAAAAATTTAATTTTGGATTTTTTATAAAATGAAAAAAACTGAAACAAATATTTTGGTAAAAGACATTTGCGGACAGAAAGTTGCGGACTAACTGAAAAACATTTTTTTATTTTTTAGAAAAAAAATGTTTAAACAAAAATTTAGGTAATTTATTATCAAAGACGCGATGTCCACAAGATTTCTAAAAAATTACTTTTGGCAAATATTTAAGATTGTCCGCAAATCTCTGTGCGCCAAAAATATTTCAACCCCTCCCCACATTTTTCCTTAACTTTTATTTTTAACTCACAACTCCAAAACGTTTTATACGAGCCTCCTTTTTGGTTTCCATATCCTTAAAAATAAAAAAAAATTTCAAGTCAATTTAAAGGTAAATTTTTTTACTGAATTGAGAGAGAAAAAGTTTAGCCCTGGGCAGGCATCGATCCAACGAACATTTGGTAGTTGTTCTACCGGGCGCTGCCTTCATGTTTTCCTATCCTTGCCTATTAAGCGCTTTAAATGCTAACCAGCTAAATCTCACTTATTCCTTACAATCTCAAATTCGAACACAAAAAATTTCATTTAAGTGGATTCACATCCCCAAATTAAAGGTAAAAAAATTTTTTACGGACATAGAAATGGAAAAACTTCCATTTCCAAACTTTAGAAAAATTAAATAAAAACTAACCCCACTCCCAATAACTTTTCCAAATCGTTTTTCTCTTTTAGCCAAAATTTCACTTTGTTCAGATTCAGAAGCACCACCCCTTTTCAATGGCAATCCAAAACGTTCAGCGCGTTTTAACATTTTACTGTCCTCGTCTGTTGTCTTTCTTTTTTCATCGGTTATACCAAAACTTCAAAATTTAATTTTTTAAATTTAAATTTTAAAAAAATTAAAAAAAACCGAGCAGCTCTTTTCTCCTTAGCCTCTTCTTCATCCTTTTTTGTTAGAATCTTCTCTCCTTCCTACAAAAAATATAAAAGAATTTAGCTAGAGAATTGAAAAATTTGAAAAAAAAATTAATTTTTGCGAAGATGAGATTGAAAGAATGATATGACAAAAATGTGGATTTTGCTTGTTTCTCAATTATTTTCAAAGTTTTGCCCTATTTTCTGCTCCATTTTTTACCCATTCTATTTAGTAATTATTATAGATATCAAAAGCGTATCCAGAGAGTTTTTTACGAAGAGTTGGATAGTAATATAACCTTCTTTGCAAGAAAAAAATTATTTTTGAGAGTTATCCACATATTTTTAGATGGTTAGGAAATAGAAATCCTCCTTTTTGTATTTTTGATTATTCTCTTCCCGTTTCTTTGTTGGGGGAGCGCGGGGGGGGGGGGGGGGGGGAGAATTTCCCCGCCGAACAAAAAATATATATCCTTCTCCCATTTTTCAAATTTTTTCCATTTAAACATCAAAATAGAAAACCTTATTTCCCGAAAAAGATCCAAATCTCTTTTCTCTTTTAGTCAATATATCGTCAGATTCCGACTCAGAAACACGTCGTTTTACAGGCAACCCAACACGTTCAGCTAATTTTAACATTTTTACATCTTCATCGGTTGTTCCCTTCCTTTTTGATTGATCCTCACTTAAAAAATAATTTTCAAAAAAATTATTTAAATAAAAAAACCGAGTGATTAGTTTTCCCTTAATTTCTTCCTCCTTTTTATCCTCATCAGTTTTATTTGCTCCCTTCTCCTCATCATTATTTTTAATTGATTCATCGCTGTTATCGCAACTAAAAAATTTTTTTTCATAAAATTAAATTCAAAACTGACAGAAACAAGGGGTTTATACCCCAAAAATCTTCAAAAGGAGCCCAATTTAAAAAATACCCATACTCCCCCGTATTTTCTTTAAAAAATTAAAAACAAAAAAACCTCGCAGGTTGTTTTTCTTTTCCCTCTTCAATATCTTCATTTGCAGTAGTAGAACTGTGTGTATCCTTTTCATCATCCAATCCCAAAACCTCATCCATATTAACGCCAGAAAGGTCAATACTTTCACCACCAGGCCCCTCTTCAAGTAATTTTTCTTCTGCCATTAAGGAATCAAAAAGGCGAGTAACCAACTCAGATTTTGGTCCAGAGGCTGGCAATTTACGACTTTTGAGTTTTTCACGAATTTGAGCCACCTAAATAAAAAAAGCGAGAATTGGAGAAATATTAAATATATTTTGAAGGATTTAGAATCCTAACGTTCAGAATTAGCCAAAAAATAAAACACAAACCGTCAGCTTTTCAAGTTCTTCCTTTGATGCCATTAATAAAGTCAATGAAAGCAAATAAGCTAAATTTTTAAATTTAGAACATATTTAAAATTGTTTAAAATAATAATAAGAATATGCAACTGTAAAATACAAAAATAATTTGTAAATAAAATTTTATTTTTTAAAATTCAATATACTAAAACAATAAATACTAACAATAAATTAATTTCTAATCATTGCAGAATCAACGACACTCCATTCTACAATGATAGTTTTTATTTGCCATTTTCGTTTCGCCAGAGTTATAGTTAACATCAATATACTTGCAATTGTTTAAAAAATAAAGCAAATTTGGTTGAATATCTTCTTTTTTAATTTCTAAGAAATTTTTAATAAACTCGAAGATTTCTTCTTTATTACTTTCAAAAGTTCCTGTAGCAAAGTCTTGACCATACGTAAATTTATGGAACCTAAATAAGTGAAAAAAATTATTTTGAAATCAAGCTAGTAAGAGAAAATTTAATTTAATAACTCACGATTCACTCATTTTAAATTGCTTTTTTGCTTGATTTCTTGCATCCTCTCCATCCATACCAAGAGTATCATAATGGGGAGATTGGTCAATAGCATAGCAACATAATCGTTTTGTTGCTTTATGGGTTAAGATACACACATCAAGTTCAAGAAAAAGCAGTTTAACGGCATAAGACGCGGAAAGCCAAAGTTTACTTGATGATTGAATCCAATCATCCTTGTTGAAATATGTATCAGAAGCAATGAGAAATAAGGAGGGATCGTATTGCAAATATACCTAAAATTGAAAAGATGAATATGGGTCGTGAGACCATCGTTTGTGATGCTAATATGAACTCGGACATGCCTTAAATAATCTCTTAATGTATATTGTGAATAATTACATGATAACACAAATTTATTAACTTGAGGCACTTGTCGTTTGTAGGGTAATCATGAACAATTGGGGAGACATACTTAAATTATAAACTCTGAAATCGGCATGGCCGATTCAGCATGTTTGATTACCTATGTAACCCTGATCCAGGAACCGAACCAAAACTAAGTTAATCCCAGACTCAAATCCCAGACTCTAATTCCCATTTCTATCTTCCCATTTATAAATTAATAGTTTTCTTTTCTTTGAACTTTGCCTCTACACTTCCGCTTAATTCCACTATATTATTGTTTACAATTACAACAATTCCTTCCCAGCCTTTCCATTACACGTTCACGTGAATTCCTATTGTTCCACTTTTTCCCAATCACTTCCCATTATCCATTCACATGAACTCCTATTATTTCCTCTTATTCCCGACCACTTTCCCAACTAATCACATTAACAATCTCCACTAATCCAACTTGTTGACTATCGCTTATTCCATTCCCCACTCCCCTTTTCCCAATTTATAATGATTCCATTCCCTCCAATAATCATCGCAGTTTTATCTCAGTCCAGTCCAATCCAATCTCAGTCTATCTCACTCCAGTCCAATCCATTATCCAGTTCCTTAACTTTATTCATATTCCAAATGTTTACTTCGTCCTCGCGCAAATCCTATCAACTTTATACAGTCCTATAATTTCCACTTATCAATTTCACTTCCTCAATCCATTCTAATCCATTTATTAATGTTCATTCAATAAGTATATAAACAGTATTTGGTGAATTGGTTTAGAAACGGGTAGGACCTCTGTAAGCCCACTCTCGCACATCCACTAATTAATATCCACACACACATCCACTCAGATCCCGAATCCATATACACATATACAACACCCCAAATAACTAACATACTAACTCCTAAATAAAATTATTTTCAGAAAAAATAACAATTTTTAAGGTGTTTTAAGGTGTCTCCCCAATTGTTCATTATTACCGTTTGTAGGGTTTTGCGGAGTTATATAAAGGCGTCTTTTGTCTTAGAATATTTGATGTTCCAAAAATGTTTAACCAAACAAGTTTTATACAGATTTATGAAACAATCAGCCTGTCCTGGAACTCTTAACAAGATAAATTAACCTAGAAATGTAAATTTGCTCCCGTATCCTAAAAGTTGTCTAAACAAATTAATAAAGAAAAAATTACCCCCGGTGCCAAAATTCGAGCCCTTTTAGAAGTAACAATAGGCGCAACAGGAGCGTTAGAATGTGTTCTTTTCAAAACATTGGAAAGATTGATGATCTTGCTTAAAATTAATATTTTAGAGTATTTTTATATTTGAAATAACCTTGATGACGGTCAACCTTGTTCGTTTGCCATTCTTTTCAAAAATTTAAACCGACAAAAAATTTAACTGTTTTAGAATAGAATCAACTGAAATAATAAAAATTTTAAAAAATATAATATTAAAAAACAATATAAAAACGTAAAGAAACGTTAAGAAAAAAATTCGTTAAAAAGCCATTATTCATTTTTATATAAAATTATATTTGAGATAAATCGAATCAAATGGAGAATAAAATATAATTGACAGTTTCGAAAATTTCATACTATAACGATAAATTTTTACAATATTTAAAACATATAATCGAAATAATACGAAACCGTCAATTAAAGATTATCTGAAAATATATTTTAAAGTAAATATAAATTTGAGCAAATAAATTCGAAAATAAAATTCGTTCAAATCACCAACATTCAATGGTATAATAATACTTCTCATTTCCTAACTTAACAGTACCGAAGCTACATTTAAAATTAATATATTTCCAATTTTTTAAAAACTTCATCAAATTCTTTTTGATCTTGTCATAATCTTTAATTTTCATAAAATTCTGAACAAATTCAACCACATCTTCTTTGTTAGCTTCATAAGTCCACTTTTTAATTTTAGAGCCATAATTATAACACTCAAGTCTGAATAAAAGAAAAATTTTTAAAAGCATTTTGCATTTAAAATTGACAAGAAAAAATTTTTGTTAGCAAAAATTATAACTGACGTCATTGCTGCCGAAAACTGATCTTTTGCTAATTGCCTTGCCATAGAACCTTCAATGCCAGGTTGATCATAAACTGTGGATTTATCTATCGCATAATAACACAAATCTTCGAGACCATTCATAGATGTAATGTTAACATTTATTTTGAGAAACAAAATTTTTACAGCATACGAGGCAGCCTTCCACAATTCACGGGATGATTGTACCAAATCTTTTTTATTGTAATAATACTCAGCAGCTTTAAGATAGGAAAAAGGGTCGCATTCGTCCTAAAATTATGAAGATTAATAATGAGTCATTTGTTTTTTTGACTCTATGCGAACACAAAAACAGGTATTTAACTTAAACAATGACTGATCCTAAATCGAAGATCCAACTAAACTCATGAATATTTTTTAAAATAAAAAACCCAATGTGTTAAGTTTATTAAAAAGAACAAAAATATACTCCAATTGGAAGAATTTTCGGCCGCTTCTCAAAAAGAAATATCGCATCAGAAGTAGATCTCTTGAGTGTTCTTTTCCTGTCACTACTTTCAGTTTTTGACGAACATCTAGTTTTTGACGAACTTAAAATTAAATTTAAAATTTTTTTATTTAAAACTAACCTTAATGACGGTTCAAATTGTTCTTTTCCCATCCTTTTCAAAAATTAAACCAACAAAAAATTTAACTTTTTAGAATCAACTAAAATAATAAAAATTTTAAAAAATATAATATTAAAAAACAATATAAAAACGTAAAGAAACGTTAAGAAAAAATTCGTTAAAAAGCCATTATTCATTTTTATATAAAATTATATTTGAGATAACTCGAATCAAATAAAGAAATAAAATATAATTGACAGTTTCGAAAACCTTCATAACATGTAACGATACAAAAATTTAAAATAATGGAAAGAATACGAAACCGTCAATTAAAGACTATCTGTAAATATTTTCTAAAGCAAATATAAACTTGAGCAAATCACCAACATTCAATAGTATAATAATACTTCTCATTTCCTAATTTAACAGTACCAAAGCTACATTTAAAATTGATATATTTCCAATTTTTTAAAAACTTCATCAAATTCTTTCTGATCTTGTCATAATCTTTAATTTTCATAAAATTCTGAACAAATTCAACCACATCTTCTTTGTAGTCCTCATAAGTCCATTTACTAATTTTAGTTGCACAATTGAACCACTCAAGCCTGAATAAAATAAATTTTTTTAAAATCTTCATAAAATTTTGAACGAACTCAACAATCTGCTTTTTAAATTGACAAAAAATGTTTAAAAATTATAACTGACTCTATTGCTGACGAAAATTGATCTTTCGCTAATTGTCTTGCCATAAAAATTTTAGTCTCGATTTCATCATAAACTGCAGATTTATCTATCGCATAATAACACAAATCTTCGAGACCATTCATAGACGTAATGTTAACATTTATTTTGAGAAACAAAATTTTTACAGCATACGAGGCAGCCTTCCACAATTCACGTGATGATTGTATCAAATCGTTTTTATCGTAGTAATATTCAGCAGTTTTAAGATAGGAAAGAGGGTCGCATTCGTCCTAAAATTCGTGGCGCGACATTTGGGGATCAGACTTTTGGGGACCCGACAATTGGGGACCCGACATTTGGGGACGAAATAAAATTTAAAAAAAATTGAAAATCTACCTAAAGCAGGTCTTTAATACATAGTCGGATATGGATAAAACATGGTCATTGACTCAGCTCGATGTCTGAGTCGAATGAGGGTGAAAACCAAGCGCGGGAGTTAACGATCAAGCGCGGGAGTCAACAGCCCCGTGCTTAACTCCCGTGCTTGACTCCCTTGACATTTGACTCCCGCGCTTGGTTTTCACCCTCATTCGACTCAGACATCGAGCTGAGTCAATGACCATGTTTTATCCATATCCGACTATGTATTAAAGACCTGCTTTAGGTAGATTTTCAATTTTTTAAATTTTATTTCGTCCCCAAATGTCGGGTCCCTAAGTGTCGGGTCCCCAAAAGTCGTATCCCCAAAAGTCGTCCCCAACTGTCGGGTCCCCAAAAGTCTGATCCCCAAATGTCGGATAGCCCTAAAATTATGAGGATTAATGAGTCATTTGTTTCTGACCCTATGCGAACACAAAAACAGGTATTTAACTTAAACAATTAATGCTGTAAAAAACGAGTGACTAAGCCTAAAGCGAAAATCCTACTAACAATAAACTCACGAATATTTTTTAAAATTAAGAACCCCAATGTTAAAAATCTATTTTAAAAAATATACTCCAATTGGAAGAATTTTCGGCCGCTTCTCAAAAAGAAATATCGCATCAGAAGTAGATCTCTTAAGAGTTCTTTTCCTGTCACTACTTTCAGTTTTCGACGAACTTAAAATTTAATTTAAAAAAATTTTTATTTAAAACTAACCTAAATGACGGTTCAAATTGTTCTTTTCCCATTCTCTTAAAATTTTGAACAAACAAACAACATTGAATTAACTGTATTTGGAATTAGACTGAAACGAAGAAAATTTAAAACATTAAAAAATATTGTGTATAAAAACGTCAAGAAACGTTAGGAAAAAGGTGGATTAAAGAGATTCTAATTTATTTTTAATTTGAAATTTATAAAAACCAATAATGAACCTCAACTTTAAATATTCTCCATTTGTGTTCTAGTTCAAAAAATGTATCTAAATCGAAATGCATCTCCTCTAATTCTGAGAGTATTTAAATTCGAGGTCAGAATATATTTAAAAAAAAC